AGAGGTGTCCCAGTAAACATTTTTTAAAGATTTATTTATTTATTCATGAGAGACACAGAGAGAGAGAGTCAGAGACATAGGCAGAGGGAGAAGCAGGCTCCCCACAGGGAGCCTGATGTGGGACTTGATCCTGGATCCCAGGATCACGCCCTGAGCCGAAGACAGACGCTCAACTGCTGAGCCACCCAGGCATTCCACTCTGTCAAATAAATAAAATCTTAAACCCCACAGAGTGTCCTGTTGTAATTTATGTATGTTAACATGTAATCTTTACAACACTCCTAAGAAGTAGGCAATAGCACTAATCCCATTTAACAGATGTAGAAACTGAGGCATGAGGAGGTTAACTTGCTCACCCAAGGTTACACAGCTGGTAGGTTGCAGAACTGGGAATCTAACCTAGTTGTTGCATTACCCTAGAGCTGCCTGTTTCTGGAGTTTTGAAAAGTACTATAATGTTTCCTGTAAACATTCTTTTCCAGTTTGTTGAACATGTGACTGGTGATACCAGTCATCACTTATCTAGTGCCCAGTATAGGCCAGACAACTATGCGAGGTACTTCCACGCATATTATCTCTAATGCTTGTAAGCCAAATACCATTTTGCATTTGAGGAAACAGCCTCTGAGATTTTGCCTGACCCAGCCCCTCATTAATAAGGCTCAGTGAGGATTCAGTCCAGGTGAGACAGGCTTCTCAGTCTTATCACCGGGGCACCTTTGTGTGGACCTGCATGCCTTGAATACCTCTACTTGTTCGGAGTGTTTTATATTTCGCTGTGATGTTTTTGGATGGTTACACTAATTTTTTATTTCTTTTTTGTTTTTTAGAGATTTTATTATTCATTCATGAAAGACACAGAGAGGCAGAGACATAGGCAGAGGGAGAAGCAGGCTCTGTATGGGAAGCCTGATGCAGGACTTGATCCCAGGACCCTGGGATCATGACCAGAGCCGAAGGCAGGCACTCAACCACTGAGCCACCCATGCACCCTATACACTGATTTTTTTTTTCTTTCTCCTAGTACATCTAAGACAAATGAAGAGCTTCTTCATCTATGTCCCTGCAGACTTCTTTTACGCTGTTGTTCATGTTTGAGACTAACAAACATGTGAATCTCACTGCCCATTGAAGGGAAACTTCTCAGGCTCTTTTTCTTTTCACTTTTTTTTTTTAACCAGTGTTTTTCTACTTTCCTATTGAATGGGAAGGAATTCAATTAAAAAGTCTATCTACGATTAATCCTGCTGCCTCTACCTTGATGTTCAAGGTTTGGGAGGTGGAATATTCCAGTGAACACCATGGGTAGAACACAGAACAGTTCCTATAGGAAGAGGCAAAGCCTTGGCAGGAGCTTATGATACTGCCATAGAGGATAAGATAATTTTTAAATCTTACTTTTCAGCCCCTCCCTTGTACTATCCAAGTTTTCTTAAAAATAAGATTTGAATGCTTTGTTTACCTATTTTCTTGGCAATCTGTGTTGTCAAGACAGCAAGATGTTTGCCTAGAATAGGTTTTTCTAGTGTTAGAGAAGAAAACCCAAAAAGCAAAACCAGTTCTTACTTTAATATTTCTAAGAAGAAAATGGTTTCCTTCAGTGGGATGATTCCTAGCCTAAGAAAGGCCAAATGTCAACGAAAGGGAATTACAGTGTCCTCTGCTTTGTTCTAGTTCACTTTAATAAGAAAGGTACATAATCGATGTGGTTTTTTGTTTTTGTTTTTTTGTTTTTTAGCTCTGTACTAAGTATATTAGTAGCATCTCTGAACACTTATGTGCTAGGCACTGAGCTATTAACTTTACACACATCACTGAACCTGTCAGTTAAGTTTGTTGTCTTCATTTGACAGCTGATGAAACCAGAGTCCCTGGTCAAGGCCAAGGCCACAGACCTGACAATTAGCAAAGCTGAGATGTGAGCTAGGTCTGTCTGGATTCCAAAGTCACTGCTTTTAACTACAATGCTGCAGGTAAACAAATTTCAGATGTGATACTTATCTAAATTCCAGGAATTGATATATGGCTCTACTGGCAAGTCAGACCCCATTAGTGAAAAGGAAAGAATAGAGACAATCGGGTGGCTGAGATCAAATACGTGGTACAGTCCTTGTAATAGGAGATCACAGAGGGGAGAGGTCAAGGAGAGCCTGGGTCATAACATTTCAGGAAGTTCTTCCAGAAAGAAGTGGATCTTGGGCTAGAGTTTGGATTTGAATGGGCACTTTCTTGCCTTTCTCACATAATTGGCTTCTCACTTTATACAGCTGTGTGTGTATATCTAAGTTTCTGCCTATTAGCTATTGTGTTCTAATAAAACCTAGACAATTTAGTAACATGATATAAACATATAAAATTATGTATTTTAACAAGTAACAGGAAAAGACATCAACCAATATCTATTTTGGTTTCTTTAGTAAAGCAGGGGTTACCAAACTATTGCTTACATGGGTTGAATCTGGCATGTCACCTGTTTTTATATGTCCTGCTAAGAATGGTTTATGCATTTTTAAATGGTTGAAGAGAAATCAAAACAATAATATTTTGTAACACGTGAAAATTATATGAAATTTAACTTTCAGTATCTATAAAAAAGAGTTTTATTGGAACACAGCCACACCCATTCATTTGTCTATGGTTGCTAGAATGGCAGAGCTGAGAAGTTGCAACAGAGACCACATGACCTGAAATCCTAAAATATTTAATATCTGGCCCTTTACAGATAAAGTTTTCTGACTCCTGACATAGAGTCAGAGATGTTCAAAATGTTCCCCAGCGGCCTCAATACATAGTTTTGAGGAGAGAATAGCAAAATATAGAAAAATACAGAACTATGCATCCATCATTCAGAATTGACTTGACATTTCACCATTTGCTTTTAATTCCTTTAAAAGTAAAAGGCATGAAACTGTCCGACATTTCTTATGCTCCCTGTCTTTATTTTCTGTCCCTATGTCCATCTTTGTGGCAGATTGTCATGAATTTAACTGACACTCAATCCCCATTGACCTTTAAAAAAAAAAGCACTAGGCAAGCAGGTGTCTATGAACAAGATAGACTATGTGGGGTTTTAAAATACAAATTTTACATCATATCGTAGTCTGTACCTTGCTCCTTTATTCAGCATTCTGGTTTGAGGATCTTCCCACGTGTGTACAAGTAGATCTTTTTTTTTTTAAGATTTTATTTATTTATTCATAAGAGACACACAGAGAGGAAGAGACATAGGCAGAGAGAGAAGTAGGCACCTCACAGGGAGCTCCATGCGGGACTCGATGTGAAACTCTGGGATCACATCCTAAGCCAAAGACAGATGCTCAACCGCTGAGCCAACCAGGCGTCCCTGTACAAGTAGATTTAATGTATTCCTTGGAACTATTGCATAGTATCTCATCAATTATCCAATCAAATAACACATTTCACTTATCCATTCCCCCCATGAACAGTAGGAAGGTTTTTTCTGGGCTTTTACTGTTACCAACAAAGGTGTCCGTGGTGAGTAACATCAGAAATGGTGGTCCTCGGGGATCCCTGGGTGGCGCAGCGGTTTAGCGCTTGCCTTTGGCCCAGGGCGCGGTCCTGGAGGCCTGGGATCGAGTCCCACATCAGGCTCCCGGTGCATGGAGCCTGCTTCTCCCTCTGCCTGTGTCTCTGCCTCTCTCTCTCTCTCTCTCTCTCTCTCTCTCTGTCTCTCTGTGTGACTATCATAAATAAATAAAAATTAAAAAAAAAAAGAAATGGTGGTCCTCTTACTGAAAGCTCTCAACTGTTTGTCAGCATGTAAATACCAGAGGATCTAAACTGAAGGGGGCTGGAAATCCATCCAGTAAAAAGGACTTTTTTTTTTTTTTAAAGATTTTATCTTATTTACTTATTCAGGAGAGACACGGAGACATAGGCAGAGGGAGAAGCAGGCTCCACGCAGGAAGGCTGATGCAGAACTCGATTGCAGGACCGCGGGATCATGACCTGAGCCAAAGGCAGATGCTCAACCACTGAGCCACCAGGTACCTCTAGCACAAGAGGACTCTGAACCTTTCATTACTTTGGCCCTAGATTCCCGCCTGGACTCTTGATTGCCTTTTGGCTCCTTGGCAGGGTCAGCGAAACATGCCCTGGGTACCCTTTGGGTCAGGACTGAGTTTTGAAACCATCTAAGGTCGGCAGGTCAGACAGCCTTTGAGGTCTTCTTTCTCCCTCCTGCAGCGCCGTTCCCCAGCTGGGGGACTAAACACACTCTTAAGGTTCCAGCAAAGGAGGGCGCCCCAGAAGGGTAGAATGTTTATGAAGAATATATTGTTTTCCACGAAAAGCATCTAGGTAGCCCTGGGGGAAGGCCAGAAGTTCATTGTTTCGGGTAGTTTTGTACACCCGGGTGGAGTGGATGTGGGAAAGGAACAGAGTTCCCCGGCCTTTGGGGCGGGCCCGGGGCAAGGAAAGGGGTTCCCCTGAGTGGGTGGGGACCCGAAGTCCAGGCTGCATCCGCCGCCCGGCGCCCGGGGCAGAGGCCGCAGCCTCGGGACGGGACCTCGGCCGTCCTGCGGACTTGGGGGACTCCCCGCGCCCCAGCCGCCGCCCCGCAGTCCCCGCGTTTGGCCAAACAAAGCGAGCGCTGCCGGCGCGCCCCGCCCGCCCGAGGGTGTCGCCGCCGCCGCGGGGAGCGCCCGGCCAGGTGCGCGCCGCGGCCCGGAGCGAAGTGGCGGCGCTGCCTCTCGCGCCCCCCCGCCCACCGGGGCGCCCGGCTCCGCGCGGCTCCGCGGCTTCCCGGGCCGCTCCCGGCCCCGCCCCACTTCCCCTCTTCCCCCGCCCTCCGCCTCGCCGCTCCTTTCGGCTCCGCGGGCCCCGCCACTCCCCCCCCCTCCCCGGCGCGGGGCCGAGCCCGCGGGGGCGCGCCGACGGCGGCTCGGCGCCCGGGTTTCCAGCGGCCGCGGCCAATCCTCGCGCAGCCCGCGGCGGCGTCGCGCCCCAGCGAGACCCGGCGGCTCCTCCCGCCCCCGGCCCCCCGCGCGCGCTCGCCGGGGCCGCGGAGAGGAGCGCGCGGCCGCGCCGAGCCGAGCGGAGCCGAGCCGAGCCGGGGGCGCCGAGCGCGGGAGGCGGCGGCGGGGGCGCGGAGCCCAGGTGAGCTGCCGGGAGCGGGGCCGCGGGCCGGGGCGCCCTTGCCCTGTCGGGGCGGGGACCGCTGCCGGGATTGCAGACAAAGCCCTGCGGCCGGCCCCGGATTCCCTCCACCGGGGGCACCCCACGTGCACCGTCCCACGCCCCGCCACGTGGGGGGACCCGGCCCCCCGCGCCCCCTCCCCCGCGTCCTCGGAGCGCCCGGGGCCTTGGGGTGGCCTCCTAGGGGGGGCCGCGCCTGGCCGCGGGGAGAGGGTGGCAGGGGCGGTCCCGGAGTTTGGAACCCGTGTCCCCCGGGGCCGGGGCAGTCAGGCAGGGATCTCGGAGGCGGCCTAGGCCCACCTTCTCGCGTTTGACAGGTAGGGAAGGCTACGGAGTGCAGGGAGGGAGAGGGCCACCGGACTCTGAGCACCCCACCCCCGCACCCCGCTTGTCTTGGGGGCAAACCCAGGCCCTGGGTAGGTTGGACCGACACCAGGGGGCAGGACCCTGGATCAGCAGTTGCGGGGCCTGGGGACCTCTGCCTCTCTTCGTTGGCCCTCTGCTTCCGCCCTCCGGAACCTCACTGGCTGGTCCTTTTGACCTAAATTTACCTCCGGACCGCAGCTCTTGATGAGTGCGGAGACGTGCCTTCACCTGCCCCTTCTGCTTGACTGTTGGGGACGCGGGGTTTCTGGGCCCAGACCCGGGAGTCTGGGTCTTGGTGCCTGCCTGGAATGCCATGCTGTGTAGCCTCGAGCTCTCCCTGCCCCCCCCCCCCCCACTCTCTGCACTGCCCAGTTTGGGAAGCGGGGTGTTTTCACAGCTCTGCCAGCCACCCTCAGCCACCCTGCTGCTCTCACTTGGCCCTGGGGAGGTTGCACTTTAGCTTCTCCTGTCTCCTCCAGAAGGTTGGGGTGGAGGGATGTGGGGGCGGAGCGAGGGCGGGGGGGGGCGGGGGCGGACTCAGTGCTCTTAGTGAGAGAGGAGCTCTCTGGCCTGGGGTGGGGACATGTAGTGTCCATTTCCATAAAGGGAACTTCAACCTTCCTCAATCTGAAAGTCCCTACAGCCTTAGAGATAGAAACTTCAGGTACCCTAGAGTGATACTGTCACCACACCCCTTCCCCTAGCTCTGCCCCCAGGGGAGAGAGGAGAGGGTAGCTCTCTCCTCATAGGCTCCCATATACTCAGGGGGGAGGTAGGGGCAGTAACAAGGGGAGGGCTTTGGGAGGGCTTAGTTAGCCCCCTCCTCCTAAACCAATACACAGAAACGTGCAATTTAAGAATGAACAGTGTTCATGCTATGCAAATGCAGCTTCTTGGCGAGCCCCAGCACCTCCTTCCAGATTGCTCATCATAAGCCTTTCCTCTATAGAAAGCAGGTATTCATAGTGAGAGCACAGAGTATTTTTGTAATAAAAAGTAATAGCCATCATTTGATGAGCCCCTACACACTGGACTATGTGTTGCATTTATTATCTTATTTAATGCCTACCAAAATCCTAGGGGGCAGAGATTTTTATTCCCATTATAGAGATGAGGAGGTCAAGGGTGGAAACAATTCTGCAGTGTTGCTAGGAGTTAGCCTCATTTTATAGAGGGGTCAGAGAGGCTAAGCAGCTTGCCCAGGGTCACGCAGCCAACCCAGGCATGTCAGGCTCTTGAGCCTGTGCATTTTATCATCTATCCTGGAGCAGTCCATTGCAAGGCTGCCCTCCGTTTTTTGAGGGGCCCAGGATTGTTTACTAAACCAGCTTAGAGGGGATCCCTGGGTGGCACAGCAGTTTGGCGCCTGCCTTTGGCCCAGGGCGCGATCCTGGAGACCCGGGATCGAATCCCACGTCGGGCTCCCGGTGCATGGAGCCTGCTTCTCCCTCTGCCTATGTCTCTGCCTCTCTCTCGCTCTGTGACTATCATAAATAAATAAAAATAAAAAAAATAAAAAAAAATAAGCCAGCTTAGAAGGATCTAAGTGGGCATGGTGCTGATGCTTATTAACTTGGGCTTGTCTTTGCTCCCAGGTTCTTAGTGGGCTAGTAGCCAAACATATTCACTAATACCTTTGCAGTAGTTCTCATCAGGGACAGTCCCACCGTCCTGGCAAGCATTTGAAAAAGTGCCTGGTGCCTTTTGGTGTCACAATGATGCTGAGCACTTCTGGCTTTGGTGGGCAGGAGCCAAGGATGCCAAATGTCCGGCAAGCAGGCCAGATCCATGCCAGGCATGAAGAACTGTCCTGCCCTGAATGCCAGGAATGCCTCTGTTGAAAAACACTAGGAGGAAGAAGTGTGCTGGGAATGATGGAAGCACAGGGCAGTGGAGTTTCTGGAGAAATCTCTTCTGGCTGGTATGAATCCAGGAAGCTCCCAGAAATAAGTGTTGTTTGTGCTCAGCCTTGAGGGATGGGCTAAAAAACAAAAGTGCAAGGGGAGATGGATGGGAATAGGAGGGGAAGGGTCTGACCTAGCAGAGGGAACTTTCTGCAGTAACCCAGAGTTCCCCCCTTGAGAACCTTAACCTGGATCCAAGCTGGACTACTGGGTAGGGAGACTGGGTGGGGTCTCAAGAGGAACTGGGTGGGGCAGGCCAAGCCTATTTTTCAAGGCATTTTGACTCAGATTTTAACGTGGGATGCAGAGTCATCCTCATCCCATCATGAACTCATTTAATGGAAAGACTCAGAGAAAGCAGAGTACTGTAACTTGGTTAGGGTCCCTCACAACCTTTCCTTCTGCATGCCGCCTTCTGGTTCTTATTTCTTTTCCCAATCCTGGAAATTTGAGGCAAATGCTATTTCAGATTGTCCTTTGGGTCAGAGGTCCTTGTGTTACTATATTTCCCTAGATGTTTTGCTTTCCCAGTTAGCTACCCCCTTTAGGTTACAGGACCCAGGTGTGGGGTTCAGGCATGCCTGGCTCCATATGCTGCCATGGCCTTCTCCCTCATTTCTGTGCATTCTTGCTTGGAAGTTAAGGAAATTGCATCTCTCTTTTGGAATGGTCTTTTCTTTCAGACTGTGCTTGTTACCTTATTGACATCTTAATATGTGACCCTTTGTATCTGGCTTCTCTTTCTTGGAGTGTGAATGTTTTCAAGGTTCATCCATGTTGTAGAATGTATCAGTGCTCCTTTCTATGGTTGAGTAGTATTCCCTTGTATGGATAGACCCCATTATGTTTATCCATTTACCAGTTGGTGGACACTGGCTTGTTTCCACCATTAGATTTTTTTTTAAAGATTTTATTTATTTATTTGAGAGAGAGAGAGAGAGAGAGAGCATGAGAGACATCACAAGCAGTGGGGAAAGGTAGAGGGGGAAGCAGAATCAAGGCCAAGTGGGGAGCCTGATGCAGGACTCAATTCTAGGGCCCTGGGATCATGACCTGAGCCGAAGGCAGATGCTTAACCCCTTAACCAACTGAAACATCCAGGTGCCCCACCATGAGTGTTTCTTTCTTTCTTTTCTTTTTTTTTTATTATTCATGAGAGAGAGAGAGAGAGAGGCAGAAGGAGAAGCAGGCTTCACGCAGGGAGCCCAGCTTGGGACTGGATCCCGGGTCTCCAGGATCAGGCCCTGGGCTGAAGGTGGAGCTCAACCGCTGAGCCACCCGGCCGCCCCACCATGAGCATTTCTTAAGGCTACTTTGTGTATTCCTCTGCCTTCTCAGCCCCCAATTAATAAACCTCTAGGCATTAGACATTATTTTGTGTCTCTGCAGAGCCGGTGGTGGTGGTGGTGGTGGTGGTGGTGGAAGGGAGGGTCTCTGAAATCAATTGGTGAACAGAGTTTTCAAGACTCCCTCTATCTGGCCCCCTCTGGCTCCACCACAAGATTCTTGCTTTCTCGCAAAGCCCAGTGCCCCTAGGGTCAATGCACAGGTGTGACATGTGTGATTTTCAGGGAGAGTGTGAATTTCATCCAGTTCCGTTCTTTTTAGTCACGATGATTTGTTAAACGTATGTCCTCATGTCATCTTCGGGCATATATTTTGTGAGACTTTTTCTAGATAAGTAAACCCACAAGGTAGAGAAAGCTTCACCAGACAGATGGAGCCTTCACCCTGTGACCAGGCGTGGAGTCAGCTCAGTCTCCGGACAGCTTAGCTAGAAATACTTATCTGGAGGAAATCAGAAATCTAGCAAGAACAGAGCTGGGAGGAAGCCCAGAGAAGAGCAGCCCCTTGGTGGCCCCTTCCGTTTCACAGTCACAGCCGAGTGGGTGGGACACAGAGAGGAGGGGAGAACAGGGTCTTTGGGAGTGTTGACTGTGAGCCAGCTTTCATACAGAAGATGGATTCAAGTTACCCTCTCGCTAGGCTGCAGCGGTTCCATTTTACAGATGAGAAAATCAAGGCCCAGGCCCCTGGGATGCATATAGTTTCCCAGCATGCCTTCTAATCCTGTGTTCTCTGGTCTTCCTTGCCTTCTTATGCTGGCAGAAGATGCTGATTTTCTCATGGGCATAGAATAGATTAGACAAGACTAGACTAGAATCTCTCTTCTCCAGGAGGGTATGGCTTTGCTCTCTGAAAAATAAGATTTTAAGTGATTATCTTTTCTTCCTTCCCTGATTGGATCCCTTCCTCAACACAACCAAAAATTGGGTATAATTCAAAGGAGGTGGATGCTGTTACTCATAGGGAAGACCTGTGCCCTGGTGTTCCCTGTTGGAGACGGTTAGTGGCCAAAGTGGGGGAGGAGCGGTTTCAGCTGCCAGTGTTTTTTCTGTTTCCATCGTGTTGGTGGTGGTGCTGCTGAACTTTTTTCTTCAATTAGGAAACATTTTAAGCATAGAAAAAAATCCAAGTTTTGTTTTGTTTTGTTTTTTTGACTGGCTCATGTTTTTTTGGAAGGCCGGATGGAAACAGGGCAGAGCAGGACGCTGTGTTTCTCTTAAGTGCTGGCTCTGGAACCCTGATGATATGTCACTGAACTGAACCCACACTTTTGGGGGGGGGCTGGTGACAAGCTCTGCCTGGACTTGGTCCCTGCCCCCAGAGAGCTCCCAGGTGAGTAGTTTGTGAACTCTTAGGGAGTGCTTTGGCAAAGAGAAACAATTCTAGCATTTTCGACTTTGAAAAGGAGAGAAAGAACATTCCAAGAGTCTGTGTACCCCCACCCCCAATCTTGAAAGCTGCTGAGCAACTATTTTTATGTTGTCTCTTTTTATCCCATTGGCTTCTGTAAATAGTTAAGAGATGGCAGTTGCAGAGATAAAAATGCTTATTTCAACCTGGAGAGGAGAAAGGATGGTCCTGCAAGGAGATGCCCCCTTACCCCTCTCCTGGGCCGTGGTCTGGGCATAAGGGGCATGAGGTAGGTGAGTGGATGAGGGAAGGGGCATCGTGGGTGGTGTCTGAGATAAGGCTCTGCTGGAGAAATTTCAATGGGGAGCCAGTGGTTTGGATGGGAGCAGGGTGTGGAAGAAAGAACACCCCCTGACAGGAGTTTTAACAAGTACATTAGGATGTTGCCATTGAGGTTTCTGAGGAAAAGAGATTTCATGTAGATTCATCCCAGACAATTCTCCCAGCTTCTGTGTCCAGGTGTGGGGGACAGGGTTGGTCCAGCAGAGGCAGAGCCAGCTCCCGGCCCCTGCTCACCCCTGAAATTATATGCACACTTTAATTTAAATCTTGTGAAAAGTGATGCATGTGGACAAGAGTTAGAGGGGACGATGAAAAGAGTAAAGTTAGCATATGGAATTAGAGATGAAAATTTGTGTTCTAATATAAAGTAAAGCCAGTTGAGGGGCTTGAGCTTGCTAGCTGTGGAAGTGCTTTCTCGGCAGCAGCCTCTGTTCAGGGAGCATTTGGTGTGTGCAGGAGAAGGAATGTGCACTTGGTCACCATGTCTCACCTCTCTTTGGTTTACAGCTGTGCTTTCCCAAAGCACTGTGTGATTTTGGGCAAGTCAGTCGGACTCTGCCTCAGCTAACCTCGCCAGTGAAATAAGCATGATAAGTGTACCCGACTCATACAGTTTTCTGACAGTTAAATGAGATGATACATGCTAAATGCTCAGAATAGTGCCTGGCACTCGGCAAGCACTCCCTCCAGAGGGCTGGCTGCCATCTAACGCCACTGTGGTTACTGCTACAACGATGCATTTTTTTCTTTTAGATTTTATTTATTCATGAGAGACACACAGAGAAAAGCAGAGACACCGGCAGAGAGAGAAGCAGGCTCCATGCAGGGAGTCCGATGTGGGACTTGATCCTGGAACTCCAGGATTGCACCCTGGGCCAAAGGCAGGTGCTCAACCGCTGAGCCACCCAGGCATCCCCAGTGATGCATTTCTTGCATTGAAAGTGCTAGCTAGTCCCTGTCTTTCCTTCACTCTGTCCTGTTCATTGGCCCTTCCTTTACCCATCCTTGATTTTTTTAGGATTAAAGAAAAAAAAAGACTTTGGAAGTTCTGATTTCTGCCTGCCTATCAAGGTGCAGATTGTCTGGTTACCAGGGGACTTGCAGCTGCCTGGCAGTTTGGCCTGGTTGAGAGCCTTATGGTGTAGAGAACTGTTGGTCTGGCAGGGAGCTTAGTGGAGAAGCTTTGTCAATCAGCTCTATTTCTTCTGTCAGTCAGACCCTTGGTTGTAAGTGACAGAAAACCAGTCACAAACTAACTTAAGCAAACAAAGGGAATTTATTGGCTCATGTAGTTAAAAGCTTCTAGTGTATAAGGGCTTCAGGCATGGCTGGATCCAGGTACCCAAAGAGTGTCTCTGGCCTCTGTTCTTCTCTATCTGTTGTCTCTTTTCTCTCTCTGTCAACTTCATGCTAAGACAGGGTTCTCCTCAGCCTCTGATAAACTTTAGAAATACATCCTTATTGCTAAGTCCCACAGAAAGAGACATTCTCAATACTTCTGCCAAATCCTAAAATGAGACTTGGTTGTCTGACCTGAGTCACGCATCTCTCTTGAATCAGATTTCTTGACCAGAGCAATTCATGCCTGATTGACCAGTCTTGAGTCAGATAGGAATATGAAGTTGATTTACGGACAGCTTCATGGAGTCACCTTTCACAAAAAAATAATGATTTCCCAGATGTAGATCAGGCTGCTGTTATTAGACTAAAGGAACATAGATTCTAGGCCAACTAAAGAAAATGTCTGAGGAGCCTTGGGAGTGATATAAACAATGGCCTCTAGCCAATATTTACTGAGTGCCAACAGTGTTCTGGAAAGTTCTAGGCTCTGGAGTTGATCAGTAAACAAAAAGGGCAAAGCCACAGCTCTCACAAGTTAAGTCAGGCTGATTGTCTCTATTCCCAAATCTATGCCTTTCTTTTCTGACCATCCTAGGACTCCATGTCTTTGTACTCCCCTCTCAAGCAGGTTGAGGTCTTAAGAAGTCAGAGGCATAGGCTGTATGCTCCTCTTTGTTAGAGATTTTGCCCAGCCTGGACTTTATTTAGGATGCAATATGTGGACATTGCAAGGCTGTACTTTAACTTTTAGCCTCTTCTTGAAAAACTCAGACCAATTTTAGCTTTTCCTGGAACTACTGCTTAACTTTGGGCAAATCCATAAATCTTTCTAAACATTTGTTTTCTCATTGGTGAAATGAAAAATGGCTGGAGCAGGTGACCACCAATGTGTGCTCTATTTAGCACTGACATCTGATGCATCTTCAAGCAGGGCCCATGGGGGTGAGATAGGTCAGGAGCTGTGGAAAAAGGGATGGGCGTGTGACATGCACTCAGCCTATCTTCCGTGTTGGGGAGGCAAGTACGGGGGTGGTGAGGACTGTGGCATGTGGGTAACTGTATCTCCTGTCCAAAGCTGCGGTGCACTGTTGCCAGGAGAGAATACAGGTCCAGTGCTATTGGAGTGACTTCAAGAGACTCTGGAAATGTTGACTTTTATCTGAAATGTCCCAGCTTTAAAATATTGACATCTCATTCAAATAGTTTTAGACACAGGGTAGGCCAGGCAAAATATTTTGGTGGCCAGGTGTCATCTGAGAGTCACCATTTGCACCTTTTTGCTCTAATGGCTGTGATGGGGACAGGGTCTCTGCATGCAAAAACTAGAATTATCCCTCCTGCTGTGCGCCAAGGGAGGGCCTTTGTCTCTGGGGAGACAGTTTCTGTGCCTCCAAACTAAAGAGTGCTCAAGGACAGACATTTGTAAGAGTTGGTGTCACTGAACTGATAAGACTTTTTTTTTAAGATTTTATTTATTTATTCATGAGACACACACACACACATATATATATATATATATATATATATATATATATATATATAGAGAGAGAGAGAGAGAGAGAGAGAGAGAGAGGCAGAGACACAGGCAGAGGGAGAAGCAGGCTCCATGCAGGGAGCCTGATGCGGGACTTGATCCCGGAACTCCAGGATCATGCCCTGGGCTGAAGGCAGGCACTAAACCGCTGAGCCACCCAGGGATCCCCTGATAAGACTGTTTGGCTGGGCCAAGGCTGGAATCTGGAATATTCCTGCTGGCATCACCCCTTAGCACTGTGTTCACCAGTCCAGCTGAGCACCCCCCCCCAGGGCTCTCGTTCTTGCATTGGGAAACACCTCTGCATCTGTGGCTTCTGAGGCAGCTGGCTTCTCTGGGTGGGTGGGAGCTATGTTGGTTTGCTAGAGCTGCTGTGATGATGTACTGCACTGTGTGGTCTCACAGTCCTGGAGGCCCAGCCTCCCGTCTGGGGAGGAGGGGGTGGTGCCTCTTGCTATTTCCTCCAGTATTCCCACGTCTTTCCTGCCTTGGGGCCTTCTCAGATGCTCACTCCTCCTGGAACAAGTTCTTGCCCCCTCAGCACCTGTTCACGCTATAGGTCTCAGCCTAAATAGAATTTCCTCAAGCAAGATCTTACTTGACCTGGCCCCACCCACATTCAGATCTAAAGTGGGCCCTCTGTTCTCTTTTTTTTCTTTTAAAAAAGACTTATTTATTTGAGACAGAGAGAGAGAGAGAGCATGAGCAAGGAGAGGGGTAGAGGGAGAGAGAATCATCAAGCAGATGCCCCATTGATCTCGGAGCCTCAGATCCTGAGATCATGACCTGAGCCGAAATCAAAAATTGGCTGTTTAGGGATCCCTGGGTGGCGCAGCGGTTTGGCGCCTGCCTTTGGCCCAGGGCGCGATCTGGAGACTCCGGATCGAGTCCCATGTCAGGCTCCCTGCATGGAGCCTGCTTCTCCCTCTGCCTATGTCTCTGCCTCTCTCTCTCTCTCTCTCTCTCTCTCTCTGTGTGACTATCATAAAATAAATAAAAATTAAAAAAAAAAAGAATTGGCTGTTTAATGGACTGAGCCACCCAGGTGCCCCCTCTTTTTTGTTTTAAGATTTATTTATTTGAGAGAGAGAGGGAGAGCACGTGTGCATGTATGGGAGGATGGGCAGAAGGAGAGAGAGAGAGAGAGAATCTCAAGGAGACTCCTTGTGGGACAAGGGGCTCAATCCCATGACCCTGAGATCATGACCTGAGCTGAAATCAAGAGTTAGCTGCTTAACCAACTGAGCCACCCAGGTGTCCCCCCCATCTTCTCTTTTATCTTGTCCTGGTTTCTCCTTGTTTGTACTTATAGAGTCATTTGTGTACCTACTTTTTTTTAAGGTTTTATTTTTATTTATTTTAGAGAGGGAGAAAGCTTGTGCACACCTACTTGTGATCACAAGCAGGGGGAGGGGCAGAGGGAGAGAGTCTCAAGCAGACTTCCCACTGAGACAGGAGGAGGTAGCAGCTGGTCCTACTTTTATCCCTCTATCCCACCCTTATTGTGTCTGAGAAAAAATTCATTAATTGTGTTCCTGTCTTGGTTTCCCTATCATGACTGTGAGATCATGACCTGAGCCAATACCAAGGGTCAGACACTCAACTGACTCAGACACCCAGGTATCCCATGTACCTACTTTTAAGAAATGACATCTGTTTTGTGGACCACGTAGTAAGTCCTCAGTAATTACTTGAAAGAACAAATGGGTGAGTGAATTTCCTTTAGGACCTCCCTGGGCCTCAGTTTCCCTACGTGAGAGAGGATGTGGCTGCCCAAGCCTGTTATCCCAGGGAGGACGTTGTCTCTGGCCTTGGCAGTATCCTCATAGCTATCTGGGGATTTTTTTTTTAAGATTTTGTTTATTTATTCATGAGAGACACACAGAGAAAGGCAGAAACATAGGCAGAGGGAGAAGCAGACTCCCTGTGGGGAGCCCGATGCAGGACTTGATCCCAGGACCCTGGGATCACGACCTGAGCTGAAGGCAGATGCTCAACCACTGAGCCACCCAGGTGCCCCCCCAGGACCCTTTGTTATCCCATGGTGCTGGGGACCTCAGGGAGCAAGCCCTTGCA